CCCCCCCCAGTAAGGCATGAGCTCCTTAATGTAAGTATTATATTTCTCCAAATCTGGACAGATCTTGTATTAGGTGGGACCCAGGTAACCCTGAGCGTTACATCTCAAGGTCCCAAATGGATTATGGTACTGTTGGGGAAGTAAGAGTTACAAAGACTATCCTACCTCAAAGCTCTGATTTGGAAACAAGACACATATATGACAACAACAAACGGATGCAACCAACCAAGTGTCCAGGTACACATGAGCTAGTATATATGAAAGGGTAAAGTACAAAGGGGAACAAGACCAAAGAAATTAAATAAAAATCACACGTTGATAGGTTTATCTGTTTTATTAGTTTAATAAAAATAAGCTTGTTTGCTACATTTTCTGTTATTAAAAATATGTACACAATAGCTTATCACTCATACATAATTAATAAAAATGAAAGGTCTCTGTTCATAATCTGCTTGCGGAGAACAACTACATTCAAAGTTGGGATTTAAACTTCATTGGATTCAACTATACACTCTCTGCAGCGATGCAGAACAAAGGCACAGAACTACCATACACTTGGCAGTGAATAGTTTTTCAAGTCATCGTTTCATTGGCTGATCCATAGGTTTATGGTTGATTTTTAGAAATTAATCTTTATTAGATACCAGTTGTATCAGAGCTAACAGAAAATAATACATCACTGAATTTTGTTTATTCCTTAACGGAAAGTATGTGTCTGTCTATACTGTGATTTAGTTCACCTTTTTTTTCCCTTTCTGTTTGTCAGTCACTCAATAGTGAAAGATGGCATCAAACTCTCACCAAGTTTTCTTCCTGTTTTCTTCCAAAGACGACTCACCTATTGCCCAATGGCTACCATTGTAGAATGATATAATTTGCTAGGGCTAAATCCTACAGTCTTCACACAAGGAAGATTCTCATAAGCCTCACTACGAGTGTATCCTGCATAAGAACTGCCACAGATAGGTCTTGATTACAAGAGCAAAATTGCTGGAAGATCTAATTTTCCTTTTGTTCCATACCAGCCCTTCCTTAGGCCCTATAGGCCTACTTTATTCTACGTGGAGAATCTTTGCATTTTTGCATGAACGTTTTTGGAAAACAACTTGGTTACAGTATGAGAAAAGAATATGGATGATTAGACGGCAATTCTGGCATCATTCCCCGCTGCGGACACAGCGCAATCATACACTGTCAGAAAGAGCATGCACTTGCGGTGGCAACACTGCAAGGTAGTTCCTGTTCTATTGGCTGTCAAAGTAGTTCTCAAACTGCGCCGGTAGGAAAACAATCACCGCTGATTCTCACTCTCCTGTCTTCCAGAAGTCCAGGCAATAGAGGGACAGGATACTGCAAAAGCATCTGGAAAGAGAAAAAGAACCAGTTTGTCCAGCTCCAGTAAGAGATCTGCTAGAAGTCAAAGACAAAACAAGAGCTGAAGATGGAAGACAACAGTACAATCAGGGTCACCAGAGTGTCCAGAACAGATGTGAACTAGGCTGGACAGTGTACGCAGAGGTTGGAGGAAAGGAGACTCGCGTAGGGCAACCCACTGAAGGGAGTGGGCGACTTCCTATTGGATGTCCGCATAAGCCATGCTGCAGTTACCATAGGAATGCTGCCAACTCCAAATGGGTCAGAAATAGGGAAGGAAGCACATGGGTGCTATGAAAGTTTTGTTGATCTACACAACAGGTAGGCTCTTTAGAGCCTACCTATTTGCTATTATAATATCTACTGCCCACAGAACTGCTGCTGTGCTGTTTCTGAAACCTCTTGTCTGAGCATCCGTCAGGTTGTGGCTCAGGACAGAAACTCTTCCACTCTTCTCTCAGGGAGCCAATAAATCCCTGATGGAGAAGCATAATTACAGCAAGGCAACCCTCAAAAGTTTGTGTGTTAAAAAAATACATATTGGTTATTCAACACCATTGCTATTTTTTACGCTGCTCTGTACAGAGAGAAAGACAGTCCTCCGAGAGGCTTATAGGCTACATTTAGAAAAAGATGAGTCAGAGGCAGGGGAAAA